AGTGATATTTGTAACTTGTTGAGTTATTCTGAAGTGGAATTATTTTATATTACTACCTGGTTATGGAACTTGTTACTTCATTACAAAAACTTTTTATTTGTTTTTGCCAACTTTGGAAAGATAAGACATCGTACTGTTATGGTTTTTGAATAATTTTATTGTTAATATTACTATCTGCAGTTATTTTGGTTCCATAACATAAGTTTTGTTAAATTGGTTGATACTCGTATTCAAGTTCAGGTTAGCGATTAGTCTCAGTTGTATCTTTTCTCCTACACCATTTGCTTAGGCTTACCATGGTCATTGTTATTTTAGGATTACCTGTAATAAACGTTATTGGTATATCAATCATTAGTTTAGCTATATTGTTGTTTCTTCCATATCACATCTCATACATATGTTATTGTTACTACACACACTTCGTTAATTTTATACATTCACATCTATTTCATTTTCGTTATTGTTTATCTTTTATTCTTCTCTCTTTCACTTGGTTTGTATGGAACCCTTGAGCTTGGGTCCACACAAACTTCTCTCAATATTTTACATACTTATTGTTTGGTTAAGTTTTTATTTTAGTACTTGGTGTGTACTTCGAAGGTGTGTTCTGTTATCGGAGCCTTTATTTTGGATTTTCCTCTTAATTTTTGACCTTCCCTCTTCTTCTATGTGTGTTGATAGTTGAACATATCCCCCACGACTTTCGGTTTATTGCTTACTCCCCCTCTTCTGATGTTGGGTTCTTGGATCAATCAATCAATTTCACACATTGTTCTCATGTGCCTGTCCATAGGTTGGGGGGTGGGTATGAGATTCCCTCGGGTATGCTGAACTTTAGGTGAAGACTATTTTTATTTTTGGATCCTGCTCTTGAGTGGTGCCTGACCTGGTATTCTTTGACCATTCAAATCCACACTGTAAGATCATGTCGACTTTCATATTATGATTCCATGGCCATACAATGCACGTTGCGAAGATGGGGTGTTCCACAAGATCACTTGTAGGTTTATCCTTGCAAAAGGTTTGCTTCATACATTTGCCCATCCTGGACTTCACCCATGGACTACACAGGTAAATCTGAAGGGGATAGTTGCCCATCCTTGCTTTGTGTTGAATGAATCAGTATGGTCTGCTTTTCAAAATAGGGTTTCCTGGTCACCCATTGCACTATCACGGGTGTTGTCACTCCTCTAGACTCTCCACTGCACTTTCTCCTTTCTCTTCTTCAAGTGGGGTTTGAGAGTCCTTACCACTTTCGAGTTCCAAGCCGCTGGGGTGATGGACCGTGGAGGCATCTTCCTATATGTGTTAATGAAATACAAATAATATATATAAATGATTGTAGAATCATTCAGTTGAGAGTAGGGCAGTGGTGTTCTGCTGGTGTAGATGACAAGATATTCTCCACTATGTAACATGGTAATCAGCCATCAAAACTGCAGTTCACCCCTTCACTTGAGATCCCTCGTACTACCCCCACATGGATGTCAGTTCCAAGTGGCTGGGTTTTGGATTTAGAGCTGAACCAATCAACATCAGTCCTCATGCATGTATTACAGATGTCTATTCCCTCGCTCCCTCACTCATTTATACTCTTGTTACTCCATCTGTGTTGTGGGTCACAGTGGAGGTACTTGCAGATTACTATGGTTCTTCCTCTTTGGCTATCCCTCGATGCTTATTATTCCAAGAATGCTATTGCGCCTGGGGCGGTTCTAGTCCTTATAACTTTGAATGAGATGGTTTACATTACACAGTCATCTTTTTGATGCTGGGTTCTCAGATCAATTTCTCACATTGTTCTCATGTGCCTGTCCATAGGTTGGGGGTGTGGGGTATGAGATTCCATTGGGTATACTGAACTTGAGGTGAAGACGGTATGATCCTCTTTCATACCCCTTCATGGATGTCAGTACCTGGTTGCCAGGTTTTGGATTGTAGTTGATTTACCGACGGTATCATCATCATCCTACCCTGGGTGGATGTTGGTTCCTAGTGGCATTGGGTTTTTGATGTAGTTGACTTGCTGTGTGTGGTTCATCATGCTCTAACCACTTTACACCTAGGGGCACATCCTTTAATCTTACCCACTTTTATGTTTTCAGGGATTGAGTTTAATAAATAATGTATGGTTTGGACCACTATCCTGCCATATTTCTCTCATTTGGATGTGCTCCTCCATTTTTTTGCCCATATATGCAACATCTTTCCACAATGCCATATTTCTCTCATTTGGATGTGCTCCTCCATTTTTTTGCCCATATATGCAACATCTTTCCACAATGGTCAAAGAGTATACCGGGTTCAGAAGTGGTGCGGTCTCCGACGTATGATCTTCGACTCGTTTTAGGAGTGTCCTTCGAACGCTTTCAAGGGATACTTCTTTCTTTCCCTTGCACTGGGATTCTAGCTACTTATGTGAGAGGAGGTAATGTACTGTACAGGAAGTTATCATTTTCCTATATTGAAAATGTATTTCCTATAAGTACTTTTCTCCTATCACACTTCCCACCCATCCTCCCCACTGAAAACCAGTGCTTCCATTTTCTGCTGTCACTTGAAGTGATAGTTCAGAAGAATTGAATAGAGGGAGTCACATACGTCAAGAGTGTGTGACATGCTCTTTTGCAGTCAATTCCATATGAGTTTTAAGGCTTTTGACATGCAAAAAATTTTGCATATAGAGGGCAGCATTAAATTAGAATATTTATGTGAATGGAGGTAATTTACAATATTAGAAAAACATTAAATTCAACAATTTATGTCTGAATTTTCTTTCTCTGAAGAGATTCAGCAAGTTGAATTACAGTCTACAGAACAAATTTTAATATGTCTTTCCAATGATACAGTAAACATATTAACTTTAAACATGTAAAATGTTAACAAAATAAAAACAACTTTCTTACTGCCAAACATTTAGGTGATCATACATGAACTTACTATACACTAGAATTCAAGCTGTTGAATTAACTGATTACCTGTTTGGCTCATTAATATTTTATATTCAACTAAACAATAATTCTCACAAGACTTGGACAGTTGGAACAATCAAAAATGGTAATGATTAAAAATACTAAATTTGATTAGTTGATTATTTTCATGAATTGTGACACTAAATGAATAAACTAAACAATTTTGAATTAATAATAACATTAACATATGAACTTGAAAAGCTGAAAAGTGAAAAAAAATTTATAAAAATTTTTCCAAAACTAAAAGTTGACAAAAATACATTAATATGAAAGTAAAGAATGACAAAACATGAGAAAAACAAAAGAAACAAATGAAAATACACAACATGACAGAATGGCCATATAAAATGGTTATACTACTGATATCTACTAGATGTACTTCCTCAGGGTCCCCAAACGTGTCCTGTTTCAAGAATAAATAAAACCAAAATTAAGAGTTAAAAATATTTTTATTTCTTGCTTTTGATCTTCATATGTCATGCTATGTTAGAGCCTAAAGAGTGCATAATTCTTCTCGTGATTCTTGGATGCACGTTTTACCGACATCACAACAGTACAAATTACAACATTAAGCATCCCTTATGTGACATTTTAGTGTACTGATTGACAGGTAGACAGTGGTGAAATTGGTTAAAATAAGTGACCCCTCCAGGCAGCCTTTGGTCCTCTTTTGGGGAACAAGTAAAGACCCTACTGGGCAAGTAGACATAAGTAGAGGTTGTTGATTGGCAAGGAGGTATATCTTATAAACTACATGCATGACAAAGTTAATGTTACAAGAGGGTTAGAAGAAAGGTCAATGGATGCTTGATGAATTAGCTAAACATCTATCTAGAGATACAGTGCTGTATTTGAACCACGAGTTTTATTTACTTTTAAATAAAACTATTACAATAAAGTGTTTTCCAGCTTCTGTAAAATCTAACTTACACTGAATACATTTTGAAAACATATTTGTTTTTAAAATTACAGAGCTGGACACCTACTGAATTAATGAAGA